GCCAGCTCTGCCTTTGTTCAAATAATTGGCAGTATTTTCATTAAGCTTCATGATCAGGTCATTAGCTCTTGTCATTTATACAAATAGTCTGGATAGCTTCACAGGAAACAAATTGGGAATTCATTTACTCAGTAACAGTCCAAGAAAATTATGTTTCAGCCAGAAACTTAATGGCATGGCTTCTGGATGGTGCATGTGATCACAGAAAGGGTGTGTAAAGAAATAGCAATCAACTGTATTAATTTGAAAATGAAAGTAACAATTTTGCCCACTCTGTGGTGATGAGAGGTAGCTGAGTCTCTTGTATTTAAAAAACGTAAATCTAGAACATGTCAGAAGTGGAAGAGTGATTTTGATCTGGCTCCAGTATGTTTTAGCTGTACAACTGAAACACAGGGAGAAAAGCAAGATCAGAACAACAGTGCTGTGGTACATTGGTGTTGAGGTCTGGTTGTTGTCTGACCACCACAGTGTCTTTTAGCATTGCCTGGCTTGTCTTCGTTCATACAGGAGATCCAATCTGCCCCTTCTGCTCGCAGGATCTTACTGCACTTCTCTACTCGAACTGTAGCTGCCTCTCATGTAAATCAGTACTGGAACATGAGACAGCAGACACAAGTCACCTCTCCCAAGAAATGCTGTAGTACGTGACATTCAAGAATTAACAGCTGCAAAAAGATTTGAAACATCAAGAGAAAGACAGGTAAGAACTGCCAGGTGCAACCTGGACAAGCTCAAACTGCGGCCCAGAAGGACCAGGTAAATCGCATTTGCTAATCTACCTGGAATGTCATGGTAGCATGAATTAGCTTCTGTGTCCATGAGAACAAAATACAGAAAACCCTGCTCAAAGCCCATCTGTACTGATGGGGGAGAAATAATGCTTCCAACAAGTTAATTTGGAAAACTTTTAACAACATAGACACAAAAATCTGATTTAGAAGGATTATTTGCCATTCTTAAACTCAGCAATTTCATAATACCTGTCACCCATAACATCATCTTTTGTTAAGGTAAACCTGGAAAAAAAACCTTTCTCTTCTTCAAGGCATTAATCCCAATTAACATTGTGCTGTACGTGTATACATTTTATTTTTGTGAGATATTTTACTCCATCTGAGATTCTGAAGGGAAACACTTGCTAACTGATGACCCTGTTTTCACATTTTAGTAGGCAGCAGTGGATGTTTTTTGAAGTGCAGATGAGTTAATTCAGTACACCAAAATGGTGTAACAGCAGAAGTGAAGTACATTTTCATACAGAGGTGTTCAGTCAAAGCTGACTGTAAAAGTGGCATACCTTATGCTATGATTACATAGTCTTATGCCTCTAGGAGAGGGGCAGTTCAATTGTGATTCTCTATGTTATTTGTATTTGCTAAATTCCTGCAGCAGGAATGCTTGTGCAAACTGACTGTAACACTAGAAGCAGCTAGTCATTGCTATAGGCCAAATTTATCTGCAGAACCTTTTTAAATGTTGGTGATAAATGCTTAAGAAGAGCAGCTGTACGATTTTTCAAGTCATTGGACAAAATTTCAGGTGAGAGTGTTTTTGTTTGACCTCCAGTACGGACACCAGATATAAGAACATTGCACCCCTGCTACTTCTGAATTGTGCAAAGTAGAGTGGCTCAAATATGTAAGCCTGAAAGACAACTTAAAATAGTGCCAGTGACAACAGTTTTCCCTATCTAAATGTGAAATGGCAATTTTTCTTTTTGGCATGAAGATAAAATGATTTTTGCTTGGTTCAGAGTTGACACCAGACTACATTTTGCTCCAGCTCTTCCTCCTCTTTCTTCTTCCTTGGCTATATAATTACGAGAAATGAAATTATAATGAAAGCTTTCTAAACTATGCAGGAGCATTTGTCTGGAATGAAGTGAGCCTCTGCCTCCTGAAATTTAACAGCAAATCTGACTTCCATTTCATGTAAAACAATACAAAGCTTTTTGTTCTCTGTATTTCAAATACTGTGGTATTGATTCCATAAGGCTAACAAAATCAGATGAAGATGCAGCCTACATATAACCTGTCAGAAATTATATGCCTACATATAATATGTCAGAAGCAAGCATCACTCATCCATTCCTCATTTTTCTGTATTTCTCTATTTTAACCATGTGACTGGTTAAAAAAAGAGACTATCCTGCTAGTGCAGTAAAGCACAATGTCTCTGAAGAGAAAGTGCATTTGACAAGCTGGGAATGAAAACAGCCAAGTGGAACACTGCTGTATGACTTCTGAGGAGGGCACTCATGAATGCTAGTGAATGCTCAGTGATAAACCATTCCTACAATAAGCAAGTGTCTCAAATTCCTCCAGACTTATAAAATCTCAACAACAACTACCAAGCAAACATCCCAAACATAACTATTAGAGAAGGCAAGTACTTAAAAAGTCAGCTACTTCTGAGGCTTGTAACCAAGAACCAAGTAGCTTCTGTGAGATAGCTCCTGGTGGTAGTAACCATAATGTTACTTTTTTACCCCACTCTCATGCCTTTTATTTTTCACAAGGTGACATTAAACAAAGGATGATACAGACAAAAGTCTTACTCAAAATAAATGTTTGGTTTTTTTAAGAGAATAAGAGGATAAAGAAAAGAGAAGAACTTTATTAGCCAACTGCAACAGAGTTAACTGGAGACTGGTAATTAGTGTTTAACGCCACCTACAGCAAAATGTTTCCCACTGGGAAAAACATGGGAGGCAAGTCCATTTCGCTCCTTCAAAGTCACAGGCCGGAGCAGAACATACATTAGCACCCAACAACACAGTCATTTTACAACTATTCAAGTTTTTACACATCTGCAAAGCAGAAGTAGTAGCAGCCATTTGGATGTTCTTTCTTAATGGTTCTCAGGGGGGGCCTAGGAAACTCGGAAGGACCTGGTTCTTGTGACATGGAGCTGGAGCTGCAGCTGCTGCTTCTGCTGCTGCTTCCAGCTACCTGTGCTCTAGCTCTGTCCTTAGCAGGGGAGAGCTGGGGGGATCCTGGGCTCAGGTACCCAGCTGTGGTCTGAGTAGATGCAGTGGCATGTGTGGTTGGGCCAGTGTTGTTTTTCACATAGACGTTCTTGATAGCAACAAGCGTATGTGCCATGATGCTGATGCTGTTATTCAGATCTTGCATGCCCTGCTGCAGCAGCCGAAGATTGTGGTTGACACTGTCAAAGCCAGACTGGATCACCTGTATTTGGGTCTGCTGAATCTGCAGTAGGTCCTCTTCAGTCATTTCATTCTGGTCTGCCTGGCACCTGCCTTTTGTTTTGGCTTTGACTTTCCCAGAGGAACCACCGCCCGATGTTCCCAGGAAAGGCAGTTGTTCTTGACTAGGTGGAACCACTACCATGTCCTCAGAGTTTTCTTCTGGCTCTACCACCTTCACTACTATTTCTTCTTTGAGGTTCATCTGCTCAAGACTGGATTGATGAGATGGGCCAGGACTGCCATTAAACCCTAGAAGAGGTGGGGGGAGGGAAGAAAAGCAAAGTAAAGCTCATGAGAAACTTCATAACCTCACTGGTGACACATTTTCTCATCCACTAAGCACTTACATCAGTCTTTGAAACAAGACTCTCAAGCTCACACTATGTTATCTTTGATGGTTTTAGAATACAAATTACCTCAACAGGTGGTAAGAAAACCATAAATACGCATTCACCAGTTAACCATGTATCTGCATACTACAGCTCCCTTACCACCACAGAAGCCAAGCTTTAAGATGCCAGAGACAAAGTTCACTGCAAGCTCATTTCATGCTCTATGGTGCATGCAGTAAACAGTAAGAGCATTGCTGAAACACTGGATTGCAAGAATCGCTTGGTATTCCAGCATGCTAGGACAATATTGCTGGCATGTATGAAGTTATGTGCTCACAGCACTATGTACTGGCTGGACCCGCGTGCTACCATGGCTTTTTGCATTTGCAGGAATAACTACGGCAACAGTGAAGATCGGTGGCCGGATCTAACGTCTCGTGGATGGACAGCATCTGCTACGAGACGCTCTTTTTACTCTTGGTGCTGTTCTTAGGCATTTCTATGATCTAGAGCACGGAGCCTCACACTTCTTGTGCCTTCTGCCTTTCCACGGATCCGAACCAGCGCTTTCCTGCGGGCCGGTCCCCGCGCTCCCGCACACCGGGGCTCCCGCGGCTGCGGCGGGGGACGCCGGGCGGAGGCTCCGTGGCGGCGCCGCGGGGGTCGCTCCCGCACTCACCCATGTCCCCCACGACGGCGCCGGGCAGCTCCAGCGTGTCGATGCCGCCCACGATGGGCACGGCCTCGGCGGGCAGCAGGGAGCCGTAGGCGCGGCGCGGGCGGCGGGCGGGCGGCGCGGCGGCGGGCGGCAGCTCCTCGGGGGCCAGGAGGAGGCCGAGGGCGGGGGGCGCGGGCGGCCCGCAGCCCTGCGAGAGGCGGCACAGCTTGCTGCGGTCGCGGCGCTTCAGGTCCCGCCAGCGCTTCTTCAGGTCCTCCACGTCGCGGGGGCAGGCGGCCACCGGGTTCACCTTGTGCCGGATCAGCTCCCACACCTTCCGCTTCTGGCCCGCGGAGGCGCGGCCGGGTCCCGCCGCGAACAGCAGCTGCTCGTGCTTCAGCACCTGCTCGATCAGCACCTCCGTCTCCGCCTCGTTGAAGTTCGCCTTGCGCCGTTTGGGCGAGTCCTCGGCCATCCTCCGCCGCGGGTGTCGGCGGGCGGGCGGGCGAGGAGCCGCGGGGAGGGCGGGACGCCGCTGCCCTTCCGTGCGCCCCGGCCCGCGGGTGCCGCCGCCGCTAGGCCGGGCCCCGAGCCCTGCTGGGGAAGGAAATACCGCGCATGAGAGGAAAAGACGCGCACGGACCGGCGCAGGCGCCCCGTGCCCCGCGTGTTGACATGGGGAGGGGGCGCGGCCCCCGCCCGCCTCCCCGGCGGGAATCCCCGCTCGGCGCCGCCCCCGCGGCAAGGGGGGACACGCCGGGCCCGCCCCCGGCGCGGGTTGTGCGCGTGCTCGGCGGGAGCGGGGCCGGGAATGGCGGCGGTTTTGGAGCTGCTGCTGCAGGAAGAGGTGTCGGTCAGCGCCGTGCTGCGGTGGCTCCGGCACGGCCCCGGCCACCGCCCGGCGGAGGTAACGCGCGCTAGGTCGTTCGCTCGCAGCGCCCCGGCTCCGGCGGGGCCGGGCCCGCAGCCGCGCCACTCCCCCAGCGCCCTCCGCCACCGCGGGCCGGGGCCGTGCGGGAAAGTTTGTCCGCCCCGCGCTGCTGTGAGGGGCGAAGCCCGCGTGGGTCAGCCCGGGGCCCCGTCAGGTGCCGTGCCGCGGCCGCGGCCGAGCTTGAATCGAGCCGCCGGCGGCACCGCCCCCGGCGCGGGCGGGCTCCGGGCACGGCGGGCCGCCGTGTGCCAGCACAGAGCCCAGCGGGACCAGGGGTGGGCAGCGCAGCACGGCTGGTGTCCTGAGGGAGCGCGGTGACACCAGGGGTGACGCTTCCGCATCTTTGTAGGGCAGGGTAGCGGTGGAAGGAGGACGAGGCTGTCAGCGCCCGGGCTTGGCGGTGGCTCTGTGCAGGCGCCAGCGCGCCTCCCGGCTGGTTCGTCCCGCCTGGACCTTAAGGAGGATCTTTGCGGACTGGGAGAGGGTGCTTGTTGGCTGAGTTTTGTAAGGAATTATTTGGGTTCCTGTGGAAATAAAAACGTTTCTAACTGTAGGTAGACTAGGAGCGCTTATGTTTCACATAGAGAATAACACAGAGAAACAGTTGGTATTTAAAACATCTACCTGAGCCCCTCGCATAGTGTTACCTAGTGTTAACATCAAAACTCACTGGTGTCACCCCCACGAGTTAGTTGGATATTGCTGTCATCCTACACGTGTGGGCAGAGTGGACCAGCACTTGTATGTTGTGTGGTATTTCTTCAGCTGTGACTTGCAGAAGCAGACCTGCAGACATGATGAAGTTTGAGATCCTGGCAGCTCAGCTAGCACTGTGTGGAGGTCAGAAAGTTTGCCCTTGCAAGGGAATTTCTTGCTGCCTTTTGCTGTTGGGAGCAGTGCAGTTACTTCAGTGTGAAAAAGCAAATGGGAGGTTTGCAGCTGGCAGCTGTTGACAGGTTGCTGTTGTGCAGTTGTGGAGGAACCAAACCTCAGTTAACTTGGACAGAGAAAGATGAGTGAAAATAGGTTGTGCTCTGAAAAGCTGGAGAAACTACCCAACCGTATGCATAGCATAGACTGTAATCATCTTTGTGCCCCATGCTAATTCCAGGGGAAGGAAATGCTAGGCCATGTCTTGCTCTAGCTCTCATGGCAGTTTTGGGCTGGAGATGGTCTTCTGACACCTCACGGGGGTTATATTCTGAGCTGTGCTTTTTCGCTGATTGTTGGCTGCTTGGCTTGTTACCTGGGCTGTGTCAGAATTTCACACTTCTCCGGGGAGCTGAATTGGTCTCATGCTTTCAAATATGAATTTTAGTATAGGTGTATGAGATTGTGTGAGTTCAGTTACAGGCATGTTAATGTTGCTTTCACTACTTTCTTTCATGCAGCAACCACCTTCAGAAATAGTGTTTGCTTTCTTGACTTTTCATCTAGTTAGGGTTGTGAATATAACTTTACTGGAGTGTGTATGCAATGCTTTCAGTATTAGTAAGGAAAAAGTTGCTACCTTTGAGAACTTTTTCTGTTGTTGCAAATGTTGCTGAATCCCATTGAGAGGAAACAGAAGCCTGGTGGAGTGTTAGGATCAAAAGAATTTTACCCAGGGTACAAAACTTCAAACTGCACATGTAGTGTGAAGTTGTTTTGGTCTAGATTTACCCTTGTAAGATCACCACCACCTGTTTAGATTTCGAATGTGTTGAGTCAATGGTGGGGTTTTTGTTTAAGTTTCTCAAGAATAAACTTCATGTAACTTAAAGTTGCACAGTCTCTGTTTAGACTTCTGTGAGGTCTCGAGCAAAATTATTTAATTGAAATGAAGAGCAGCTTTGGTCTTGTATTTGGCGCTGCAGGGCTCCAAGTGCTTCAGTGGTTGTTGTTGTAGCACCCCTCTGTGGGAGCAGGTGGCATTCACAGAAAAAATAGAGCACAGAGACCTTGCAGGTTTTAGATTTTTCTGTTAGAATTAGATGCTTTCAGTATTGATGTTTTCAAAATGTTGAACTTAGGGTCGTCAGTTGCTCCAAGTCCTCCCTGGCCATAGCTGCAGAGAGTATTACTGATGATTCCATAGAACAGTTCCACTATTTTCCAGTCAGAGACCAAAGTGAATGACTCCATCTGAAAACTTGTGCTAAAATGGCTTGTGTGTAGGCTGATTTTCAAGTCTGTGACCGGCACTAGGGTTGCTTAAATTTCAGTGATGTACTTTGACAAGTCATGTTGGTTTTTATTGTGTATTGAAATCCCATAGTTACTACTTAAATGTGTCTGGGTACATGGGCAGAAAGAATAAGGTAGCATCTTTATATTAATTTTTGTCTGTTTCTCTTGTAGGAGAACCACATCCATGACAAGCTGGTATCTCTTAGCTTGCTTCAGAAAGATTTTGTGCCTTTTCTGCTAAATTTTTTAAGGGAGCAGACCAGCCAGATCCTGACTAATGGACCCTCTACTCCTGCTAAAACTCCTAATTCCAAGGCTCGTGGGAGCCAAAAGACAGGATCAGAAAGGAGGGCAGGCCATGCCACCAGCAGCCGAGTGCAGCTCTTTTCTCAAAGGACTTCAGTGACCACCTGCACCACAGATACCAGCTTTTCTCCTGCTGCACCATCCAGTGGTTCCTCTTCCTTTTCGGGGTCGAACCCATCTAGCCCTTACGGCGATTTCCCCAGCGTGGCCTCCAGCAGCAGCCCGAGCTTTGGGCACAGCCCTGTGCTCCACCACGGTGAGAAGAGGTCCTCTCAGAAGGCCAGCCTGGGGAGCTTCCTCACGGCCACGCCTGAAGCCCTGCCCGTGAGACGCGGCCGCAGGAAAGGCAGCAGCTCGCTCGGTGCCTCTGGCCGGCAGGTAGCTCGTGATCTGGGGCGTTCCCTTGCTGAGGAGGAGGATGGAAAGAGTGACAGTGCATCGTGGAGTGGAGGGAGAAGGAAGCGGAGTGAAGTGCCTCTTGTTTCTGCCAGATCCCCGCCCAGCCAGCTGAACCTTAACAACTTGGAGGAGTTTCCACCCATGGGTGCTGCCTCTGGCTGGACAAAGTAAGAGCGAGTCTGTTTCACTGTGTCACTGGGATTGCTGCAGGTTGCAGCTCCTTGACCAGCTGTTGTGGGTGTCCAGATGCAGAAGAGGCTGTAATACACAATACCTGGCTTCTGGGAAACGTGGTCAGAACTGCTTTGTTCTGGTCACTGTGTAGGGAGGGGAATATTGCCTTGACAGGGAGTCAGATTTCCTCTCCGTGGACTCACCCAAGACACCTCTTTTGCCTCTTGCTTGTGAGGCTGCCTGCAGCTTGCCGGTGCACAGCCCAGCTGATAGAAACTGAGCACATCTTTGTCCTTGCGTGTTCTAACGAGTCAGCGTTGTCTTGGCTCTTCACATTTCTCGTTTAACAGAGTATCAGTCGGTAAGGAAGAGCTATCCTGGAAGGCTCTTCAGCTTTACTGATGCTAGCATAAAAGCTTTTGGATTGATCTTCTGTGGCTTCTGGTAGCAGATGTTAGCATGCAGCTTCATCTGTGCTCTGTAATTGTGGACAAAATAGCAGGCTGTGTTCTTGGTCTGCAGCAAGCCCTGGTCTCCTTGGTGACTTCAGCTAAGCTTTGGGGCAGCTGTTTGTATTGTGGTTGCCTCAGTTCTTTAATCTTTGTCTTTGCATTCTTTAAAATCCTCATTACCAAATATAAAGCCTTTGTGTCAGCGTGTTTGCTCTGTATATCAGTCACTGGTCTCTGAAAGTGCGACTTTCTAGTTGGGCATGCAAAATTCCAGCTAAAAATTATAAAATGTGTGAGTCTGTACAGCAAATCCAAATGCAGGGTCTGGGTCATGCTCTAGAAGATGCTTTGGCCAAGGGAAATAAGGTGTGTTTCCAGCACAACCAGCAAGTCTCTCTTCCTCAATTGCATTAATGCTCAGCTAAGAAAAAGGAGGAAAGAGATCACAAGTCCTTGGAAATCAATGTTACAGGGATTTTGAGAATGCCTTAGCAGTTAATATGTAGCAACCAGCATTTCTGTGATGCTTTATGTTTCTGTATCCATTTCCATTTTTTTAGTGTTTTTTGCTACTTTACCAAGGCTCTTTCTGAAGGACAAATCCAAGTATTTTATGCAGGAAGGATGGGTTTCCCTGAACTTAAATGGCCTAATGTAACTTGGGAGCCTGGACTCTCGCTGATAGACAATGGCAACTTGATTGATTTTAGTTTTGGTTTTCTTTTTTTTTTTTTCTCCTGATCGTGATAGAAATGAATTCACCAGCAGTTTCTTACAAAAATGGGCATATCCTGTCCTGAAAATTAGAAACATTTGGAAGGGTTGTGTGGCACTGTGGTACTTGTTAGATGGCTTGCTATTTGATAATTAGTTTTGCTGCAGGTTCATCAGGCTGTTCTTAGCAGTCTATAGCTCCGTGACTTTTTTTCAGTGATAGCATAAAATTGATAACTATATGTACAGTTTAGAAATTCAATATCCCAACTCAACATCCATTTTGTTTTAGAATTAGATTCCTCTGTAAGAGTTGATTGCACATCTGTCTTGAGACCAAACTTTTTTGTTGTTGAGCTTGATTTTAGTGGAATTGCTTCTGTTCTTTTCAGCAAAAGCAAACCATCGAGGCGAATCAACCCAACTCCTGTGAGTGCTGAGCGGCCCCTCTCGAAGCCAAAGACCTGTTTCACTTCTACGCCCGTCAGCCGGTCTCCAGCCTCAAGCCTCGAGGCCTTTGCTGCTGTCCAGGAAGGAAACCTCTCATCTGTGATAAGCAGCAGCCTTCAAGAGGAGAGGGAGATGCTGAAGAAAGAAAGGTACAGTTTGAGCAGGGGACTGATTCTCAATTCCCTTGTGTCCTGGTTGCAGCCAGGACAGGGTTAATTTTTCAGTAGCCAGGACGGGGCATGGCCAGAACAAAGTGAAAATGACAGAAGAAAGTCCAAACCATATATTGGTGACCTTAAACTATGATTTGCCTAAAGCCAAAATTATTCTGTGGTATCAGACTAGGATATTAATGCACCTAGCTCATATTTGTGATTTTAGAGGTGTGGTGACTCTGGAACAATGACCCTCACTTCAAAAGGGTAGTCAGTCCTCGCTGCATTTATGAGATCTTCTCTTCATGGAAATGAATGTGTGGCTATCTCCTGTGCATCTTTCCTTAGATTGCACGGGCGAAGCAGTTGGGTGTAATTAGACTGTTTGAAGATTGCACCAAGACACATTGGTTTGGAGAAAATGAGTTAGTGATGCAAATGTGTGGAAAGTGTTAGTGGTCTTGCAAGGTAGGTAGACTAACAGAAGCTTGCAGTCAGAGAAAACAGAATATGGGCACTTGAGATTCTGTTTTAAAGATTACTACTGCAGTTATCTGTTGAAAATTGCTGTCAGATGAAGTGAATTCTAGCTTCTAATTTTGTCTCTGCTGTTTGATTAGTGTGACTTTTATTGCTTCTAAAATGGTATCACTGGTAGTCTGTGAAGATTGATACTTAGAAAAAAACCCAAGTGCAGTAGTTTGCACCATTGTTTATAATTGCTGAGAGAGCTGTTGCTGTTCTTTGTAGGTTGTGTTCTTGGGGAAACTCTTCAGGACACATGGGTGTAATTCTATTCCTGCTAAGTTTTGCAGTTCACTTCAGTGGGACCAGAACTGGCTGAAACATATCCAGTAGAGTCTAATGAATTACTGCTTGTACTGAACCTGCAGCAGAAATGCTCAGGATTCAAACCTGCCACTCTGCACTTAAGTCTAGCACCAGTCTGAATTCTGCCTGAATTCCAGTCTGAATTCTACCTGAAATGTCCCAGTAATGTGTATCAACTGAAGTCACTGAAATAGCAGTATGTGGTTGGTTGGATCTTGCCCATGCAGTGATATTCTCATCTGACCCTCCATACTTGAAAGCTGGGAGTTGCAGCTGTGTCCTCCATTGTGGTGAAGTACAGAAGTAAGGCAGCCTTCAGCCATCTGGGTCCCTTTGAGCAAGGGCAAAAGGTGAATTTCATCCTGAGGTGGATGACAGCACTGGGCAGAAGTGAAGCACAGTCTAACTGCATTATTGGAAACTTGCCTTGGGTAAGGTCACAAAGTACTCAGTGGTGGGCTCACCCCTTGGGTGAGATCACAAAATACTTAATGAATTATTTTCTGCAGTTCTCTCTATTACTCAATAATTTTCTTCAGTTGGTTGATTATGTTCATTGCAAGGAAGCTGTTGGTAATATTTCTACTTCCATTTTGGGACCAGTTGTTCTTCATCACAGCAGTTCTGCTAAAACAGAAACAGGACAATAGAAAAGGTCTTTACTGCAGGTAAAAATGCTTCTGACTTCCCAGAGTCCTTAAAGTGTCTTAAATCTTTCACTTCTGAGACAGTGTGGCAAGAGGTAGTGTGTAAGTGTTCCACTGGAATCTTTGACAGTCATTTGATATTGCTGTTACTGCCTTGTGTCCAGTTTCTCAGGTGTGTTACATATGCCACTCTGTGTTGCATTTTGGATGACCTCTCTAGATACAATTTGGTACAATGTCTGTGTATTTAACTGAGTGATCATTGTTGATTTAGAATCCAGCAGTCAAAGTTGTTTGTTCCTTCTGTTGTTTAATTTGCCAGTACAGATTTCATCAGCTGTTGCATTGCCTTTCCATTTAAGTGGTATTGGGTCTTCTCAGGGTGTCATTACTTTACATCTATGCCAAAGGGATGGATGTGAACCTTATTTTCGTAGATGTTTTAAAGTGTCTAGCTGTCAGAAACTGTATATGCAAAGAAGATTTTTAGGACCTGGTCTCTAACAGGTTCCCTGTCTTTAACAAGTACCAGTTCAGATGAGAGAAGCAATAACATATGTTAGTTGGTTAATTTGGTCAAAGTGCTACACTATTTTAACAGAGTTGGAATTTGAATGGGATTCTTTAGTCTTTTGCTTGCTAACCCCAAGATCTATTTTCGGTAAGAGAAAGATGACTTAAATTACTGTCATGCTGAAAGCTGCTTTAGACAGTGTAAATGACATGGTTTACTTATTGCAGGATTTCCTTCATGCTGTACTGGAAGAGAAAGACCTCTTCTGGCTGCATGGCTGCTGTAGATCATCCTCAGTCATATGGTTATGTTGCTGCTCTTCAATTTCAGATGCAAATTGCTGCACCAGGCATCTTCTCCTGCAGGGATATCTTTTGATCCTTGTACTCCAACTAAACCTAGCTACACTCGCAGTGCCAGCCTTCCTGCTGAAAGCCATGTGGTGACCTGTGCAAATCCTGCTAAGGTTTCCTGCAAGAAACAGCTGGAGTGTCTGGCACAGCTCTATTCATCATGTATAGCAGGTGAGGACACAGAAGATGTGAGACTGACCTTTTTTTGAGCTTTGAACTTGTGTGCGTGTTGTGAGAGGGAGATAGATGGGAAGTGGAAGCTGTGGGATAGTTATAGTGTGCAAACAAATGACATCTGGAAAAATAAAGTAAGCCAATACAGTTATTAAAATAAATTAATACTTGGTAAAAGTTTAGGGAAGGAGGTGAGCTTGATGCAGTACTCTGATCTGTAGTAGACTGAAGTTGTATGTCCCATCTGAAACCAGGCTATTCCCTAACACATCTTTCCCATGCTGATCTACATTGTATCACAGTATCATGTTGCGCAGAGACAGTTCTTTGCTGACAAAGACAGAACAGGAATCTATCTTTTTACCTTTGTGTACCTTTGTAAAGCAGGACAGTATTGAGTAAGCCACCTTTAACATCTAAATTACTCTCTCCTAGAAAACCTAGTACCAAATATTTTTCTGGAACTGTTTTTTGTTCTGCAACTGTTGACATCTAAAGGCACTTCTACTGCAGAAGATGGGGATAGTGACTCTGAAATTGGTGAAAGAAGTAGAGGTAAGCAGTAGTAATGAAAAGAAAGAATATTCTTAGAATATTCTTTCCATAGAATGAGAAAGTGTTGTAGAGTAGCTTGGACAGTTATTCTTAAATTTCATGAAAATGCCTTATTACCACTGTGGGACTCATCTGAGATGCTGACAAAAGTCATGCATATGTGGGAAGTTCTTCCACAATATGATAGAGTGGAGTTGCTAGTCACTGTTTGAATCTAGTTTTCTGCTATTGTGCAAGATTTGCTGTAGCTACTTCCTAACACTGACTTTTAGAGGGAAGGACAGATGTGCTTGAATTGTTTCTCCATTGATCCTGCAACTCAAATGTGCTGTTGACCTGCTATGTGTTTGTTAAGCTTCAGATTTGGATCTGAGTGCACAGGATCCAGCCATATTGTTGCATTTATTTTTTGGCAAATTCAGCCTTAAGCTTGATGCAGTTAGTACTTTGATATGGATAGTACAACCAAAAGAGTGGCTTTGGGATGAGACCCACCATACCCTCCTCCACCCAAAATGTCTCAATTTGATTCACCTTTGTTTTGCTACTCTTTGATTCTTAGGGCTGTGATTAGGAACATGATATTTTCAGCTATGGCAACACCGTTTTATCATTGTTTGTAGTTGTTCTACTTTTCTTGTCCTGCATGTGCTTATTGTTGGTCAGAACAATGAGAAAGAAAGAGTCTTTTCTTTCCCATACAGCATTAAACAATTCAATTGCCTTTAAAATAGGAAGGATGGGGAATGAAAACTTCTGAAAATTGAATAGGGGCCTGGAAGATTATTCTTGGATATGTCAGTTCCTACTTTCCTTAAAAGTTAATTGTTGGTCCTTTAGTTTATAAATGGTAAAACGTACTGTTGTCTCATGTTTTTGTTTTTTTTTCCTCTTAGATGTTTCAGGGAGACAGCATTTTGAAAGTGTGCACAATTGTGTTTATTTTGCTGTTCGAGTCTTGGATTATCAATATGAGTGAGTTGAATTCTTTTTTCATCTGCTTGTGTCTGCAGTTATGTGTGGGATTAAGCAAGTGTGCTTGGGTTGTAGAACTTTACCAGTTAAAGGCACAGAGTTGTTAATTTTTCTTTAAAACATACAACTTGAGCTGGGTTTGGATGTCTGTGGGTTTCTTTGCATTGATGTGTCCACTGAACTTTGTTGTAATTGTGCAAAAATGGGAAAGTCATGAGATGAGAATGATAAATGCAGATACCAGTAGGATTTCCTGCTGGGTACATGTCCTTTAGAACTCTTTACTTGGCAGCATCATAAAATGTGAACGTAAGCATTTCTTTAGAATTGCTCAAGTGTTGCTTTTGTCTGTCTGTCTCTCTGAGCCTTATCCCCATTATCTTGGCAGAATTATTTCCCATTTAGAAAAGGGGATGCTGAAGCTTTTGGCCGAAAATGAGCGGATTGCATCGTTTTCTCCCACCTTGCACAAGAGGCTCAGGCAGGCTTATGAAAGCAGCACAGCTAAGGTAAAAATTGGCAGACCCCAAGTGACATTGCTTCAAGCTTTTGTGTTGTTGTTCTTTTATTTGCGATGGCTTTGATGTTAAATCTCATTCCTTCTATTTCATCTTCTTGTGTTGTCTTTAGAAACTGTCTAAAAGCTGCTTATTTTCCTTGGGTGATTGAGTTGCTGGGTCCAGTGATTGTTAGCTGTGAATCACTGCTGGCTAGCCTTACATTCTGCTCCAGGCCCTGACCTCAGCCACAGACTTTGATAGGGTCAAGTTTTGCCTTTGAAATTCTCACCTAATAAACATGGATCCCAGGAGAATGATTAGTTAAGTGCAATATCAGAAGGTAGTTTCAAAGATTTGGATTTCTTTCATAGATATGGAGTCTTTTTAGGCAAATAACATTTCTCAAGAGACAATCCAGACTGGGAAAAATGGCTCCCTCATGTGATTAACTAGATTAGGGAACCAGTTTGGTTGGTAGGAATTGGACGGTAGAAATGTATTTTGTACCTCATTTCATCCGTCTTTTAAAAATGGAAATTACTCTTGGCAAAGAAAGGACAGTGTACTGAGATTGGGACTTGTCAGTAGCTGAGCTTTAAGTTGTTAAAGTTGTAAATAAAGGTCTGGTTACTTGAAGAACAGTAAGGAGAAAAGAGTGAGGTAACACTCTTTCTGAAATTGCCAGCCAGGATCCTGAATTTTCTCAAGCCCTGTATTGAAGATATACTTCAATTGTTTGTGGGTCTTTCCACACATTGTATCAATACTGGTTACAATCCAGTGGCCAGAGATTTAAGGGGACCAGATACTTTCTCTCTTAAGGTTGAGTGATTCTGCTTCTGTAGCCTGATGTAGGCTGTAAAACTTGGTGTTTGCTAATAGCTAGCAATTGGGAAGTAGCATGTCTGAACAACTCAGCTAGTGATACTTGTTTCCTCACCATGCCTTTTCCCTGCTTTTTTCTTGGTCTCAGATTGTTTAGAGACTTCCACTAACTTAATGGCTGCCTTTATATTTTTAACAGGTGTCTCTCCTGCTGCCATGCTCTGTACAGTCTGTTTCTTTTCAGCCAGAAACTGATAATCGCTCTAACTTTCCAAGTGACAGAGCATTTCACATATTTAAGAAACAAAGGTAAGTTTCTTCTACTGTTCCTGGATGCTCAAGGCTATAAGCTTTGCATGATTGTGACTAAAAGATATTAAGAATGTCTCATATATGCTACATGCTGTAGAAAAAAATCTTGAATTTTTTGCTCTAATTAAATGAAAAAAGTCTTTGTCCATATTGACTGCAGGAACTAAATGGTTAATGTCTTTAGAGAAGAACAGCCTAATTCTTCAGGAGTTATTGAGACTTCTGATAATGCCAGTACAGTGTGTCACCCTACTGGATTACTTCTGCATATATATCTGGTATGCTTTTATTCTTCCTGCTGCCTCCCTCCATGCTTGCAGCGACAGGGTGAGGGCAGAATGATGAGTTGTCTTGGTCCTTTTCTTTTTCTCATAGGTTTTACTTCATGTGGCTTATTCTTTGCTGCTTCTCAGTCTTCACTATGTCTGTCTGGTAATGGCTGTTTTGGTCATTCCATCATAGATTGGGCATAACAAGCTTAAGCACTTGCTGCCAAAGATATGGAAAATGGAAGCTCACTGAAGTACTGCTAACATTTATGAGTTTTTCAAAGGTATCTGAATGCTTGGAGGCTGGAGTTACTTAATCTGAGGTAGATTGTTGCTGGGAAGCTTTGGAGCAATTAATGCTCGGTTGCTTCAAATTTTGAAGAGTGGGAATTCATTCCCTTAAATATCTTGATTCACAGGGATATATTTTATGAACTTCTGCGTGAATGGGAGGATAACAATGAGAAAACTGGCTGGGACTTTGAGAGAGTTCTGGGCAGCAAGATCAGGTAGGAGTCTTAAGCAACTTCAGCTAGCTCTTTAATGTAGCTGAATTGCTGGTGAATCATGCTGCACTTGGCATCCTTAGTTCCATGTCCTGCCCGGTCTTCTGCACTACTCTGCAGGGTGCTGTCTGCTGCTTGGAAGAGGCTGCCCATGTGCAGTTGCTTCTGAATTTAAAAGTATCAACCTTTACCTTAAAGAAACAAGCCATAAGTGACAGGGATGTAATTTGATCAGTCCTGATGTTGATCTTTCCCTTTCATAATCACAGAAAGAGCTACTGTCAAAACCAGTATATTGTTGTCTGAACACTGTTATTGTATACACTTGTGTGTGTGTGTCATGTTTTCCATGTCTGGCTCCTCTTGAGTGAGGAGAAGTGTGTTATATGTTCAAAAGCTGTTCACTCTTCTAATTATTTCAGGGGGTCTAGTGACATGGCTCTGAAAACAAGACAACTGTGTCTCTTGCTGTGGAAAGCAGACTGTTTTATTCATGTATTGCTTTGTCAAAATGCAGTATGTATAAAGAAACTATTATAGCATTGAAAGCAGTTGCCTTGTGGGTTTCTGTGTTAGTCTCAACCACCAGCCTACTCAAGTAACATGTATGTAGGTGGCATTTCACCACAAGAGCAAAACAAGGCTGAGGCTTAAACTGAGAAATTTTGGGGCATCAGAAGTAGCTTTGTCTCTCTGGAAAGTGATTTGCAGAATCTTGTGTGTATTGTGATACTCTTGCAGAAATGAACCGAGACTGAGGACTTGTGTCAAGGCCTGACAATTTAAAGGTAGAGGAGTGTAGCAAGATGTTCCCTTGCAGCATTGAAAGCAGTTGCCTTGTGGGTTTCTGTGTTAGTCTCAACCACCAGCCTGCTTAAGTAACTTGTAGGTAGGTGGCATTTCACCACAAGAGCAAAACAAGGCTGAGGCTTAAATTGAGAAATTTTGGGGCACCAGAAGTAGCACTTTTGCTGTTTCCTTACTTCCATATGTGTGAACTCTCACCTTACTGTTCTGGGCAGGGAAGAGTGGGAGCTGAATGAGTTTATTCTTTTTTCTAAATAGCAACATTATTGAAGGAGAGGAAGAGATTCTTTTTATTTCTAGAGCTGTGTTTGCTCTGCAAATGCTCAGGGAGAATTTTTGTTTCCTCCCTTGGGGAGGTGAGAATGCTCTGTTTGGAATAAATGGACCTAGTACTTGCTCACTTGATAGACATTCTTCAATGTTGCTTCTTTTTATTATGATCTCGCTCATCAAAACTATCATGACTTAGATGTAGGGATATGCAGTCAACTTTTCCTGTTGCTGAGTATTTACTCCAGGTTATGTCTGGAGTGCTGTATCCAGTCTTGGGCTCACTGACAGAAGGAAAGAAAGATACAGACTTACTAGAGCAAGTCCAGCTCAGGACTATGTAAATGATTAAGGCACCAAGCATTTTTTGTATGAGAAAAAAGTGCTGAGACCTGGGAGTATTCAGCATGGAGAAGAGAAGGCTCCAGCTTGTCTTAGCACTGTTATAAGTACCTGCTGGAGAGGAATGAAGAAGAGGGAGTGAGATTTTTCTCACTGGCAGGTCAGGAGGCTGACCCTGAACTGAGCAAGAGGGTTGGATTAGATGATCCAAGAGGCCCCTTCTTAACAGTTCTGTAATTCTTTGAGTCTTGAGTTGTATCTGTGTGTTTGAGGCAGTGGGGCATTAATTTTTAAATGTTATTTAACTCTGTGGAAGTTCAGGAAAACCTGCTCTGGGAATATGTAATGCAGCATCATAGGCCTTGGAGACTGAGTTAAAGATCCTATGGAGTGGTTCATGAAGATCGTGAGAGTGATAGGTATTCTCTCCACACATCCACATGTAGCCTGCTAGATATGCCCTAGTTAGATGTGTAGGATTGGAGTTCCATCTCACAAGACCTCTAGGCTGTGTATGGCCAAGGTGTGTAGCATGTTTTGGCAGGGGAAGAGTTGTTCTGTATGTTCCTGGACACCAGGAAAGATCATGCATGGATTACTCCAAAACCAGTCTTGTGAGGAAGGAATAATACGCTGGGTGAGAGATGAAGTGAAATGATGCCTTGTAATGAATATTCCACCTCGCTGCTCTTTCTGTCTCCTAAAGATGTGCAAAGGTCCTGTTGGTGGTGGTGCAAGCTGGGGAGACACCCCAGACCAGGATGTCCTCAATATGCTGGGCTCTGATAATCTGAGCCGTCTGAAGAGGCTGCAGGAAAGATTTGTTGTTCCTCAGAGCATCAGAGGGCCTTGTCCACCCCCTTCATTCCCAGGGTGCCAACAATTCTTCAGGGACTTCATCCTCAGTGCTGGAAGGTGAGCAGCCTGGGCTTGCTAATCCCTCTGAAACGTGTGGGCAATGGAAGCACCAGCATGTTTCTCTTGCAGCAGGGAGTTATCCAGAAAGTTTGGGACTAGATTATATGGTAATGATTTTTCTTCTGTAAACCCTTAATATTTTTTTGGAGCTGTCAGCATTTTCCAGTGCCAAGGCATGCAGTGCTGCCTAGCAAGGACACTGGACTGGACAAATGCTTCTTGTGTGATAGTGCATGAAGCCAAGGTGTACAGGATGAAGCCAGGTTCATGGTTTTGTTTAATAATTTTTTCCACAATTCACAGCACAGGGGAATTGCAATTTATGTGATATTTTAATCTTAAATTCAGTTATTTTATAGATTCCTCCTTTGGCAGATCAATTTTATAATCCTTATGCTGAGACATAGCATCTCTGAAAAAGTACAAAAGAAGAGTGCAAATGAAGGTGGTCAGCCAGTCCTAAGTCTTCTCTCTTGCTTTCCTGTCTGTCAGTGTGTTATATTGTATGTCTGTTCAATCTTGTTACAACTCATGAGACAAGCTTAAAATTCTGCAGTGTGTTAGTTGAGGTTTCACTGCTGTTTTCAGCCCAGTCTGACTCATCATCATCTTTTGCTGAAGTTACCAGTTCAATCAGCACCTGATGGATAGTCTGTGCCTGAAGATACTTGAACTGAATGGTCTTACTCTGGTGGAGCATGAGCACAGTGATGGGGAAGCAGATATGGAGGAACAGGTAGGCTTGCTTTGTGCATACACATCTGTCAGGAATTTCTCTGTGCTGTTCCGGTAGTCAAACAATTACTGGCTTGATTGTGAGTTGCTTGGAGCTTCCACCATGGTTTTTACAGGACAAGAGCTTCTTCATTTTGTTTTGTCATAACTCTGCAATTTACTTATTTGTCTGAACCCCTTGCCACTTAACCTGCATGCTTCAGGGTGCTTCATAGAACTGTCATGAGTGCAGAATAGTTGTGGAAGTGAAAGCCTCCTGTTTAGGTTGTTACAACTTGTGTTAGATCAATGAAATAGCCACGTCCAGTTGTGGCACCCCATTGCAATAAGTTCCTTGTTGCTTTTCCGTATAGAAAGATTTTAGTTACATTGGATTTGTAGTCATCCCTGTTTATAGGTGTTTCTTAAGTCTGCATATCAGAGGTGTCACAGCTTACAGTCTATTAGCAACGGAGCAGCCAAAGGTTGATGGAGACTTGCAGAGTGCTAGTGCTGTAAAGGGGGCAATGTAAGATCAGCTCTGCCTCTCATTGACTCCGAAGATCTCAACACAAAGATATGATTGAGCAGCTGCTTGTTTTAGCAAGCTCTTGAAAAATTCATTCTTGTGAAGAAGTGAAGCAATGGAGACAGAAGCAATTTAAAATACTTGATAAATATGTATTTTGGAAACTTACCTTTATTAAAAGCAGTGATGAAGCTACATGGCCCTTTTACATGAAGGGAGTGGAAGTTCAGCGGAGACATTTGCTTTGCCAGTGTAGGCTAGCATTGCTTCAGCTCACTTTCCTTCATTTTAGGATGAAAAGAAGCGTTTCACCGTGGCCCTGTTGAGTCTCCGACTCCTCGCCAAGTTCCTGGGGTTCCTTGTTTTCCTGCCCTATCGCACTGCGGAGCAGCCAACCAGAGACCTGCAGGATTCCGCGCTGGCACTGAGAAACCAAGTAAGAAACAGAGCACTGCCTTTTGCTGGACAGGCACTTCTAGGCCAAGGAGGATTGTGGTAGTCATGCACTTTCAAAGTGAGCCAGTGGCTCCTGGGATGATGTTGTTGTATGGTCCTGTGTCCCTACTGCATATTCTGGGGTTGGGAACAAAGGAAAAAAGAATTTGTGTAACCTCAAAAAGAGGGAGCAATGCACCAATGGTACCAATGGTAAGGTACTCAGTCTTCTGTTATTTCTGCTAATCTGGGTCTGTCATACCAAAACTTTCACCTAGCTAAGACGTATTTATAGTGTAAAACCCGGCTACCAGGACTGGTTGTGTTAATTTTGCACCCATCTCCCAGCAGTGTGTCACTGAATGGAAGCAATGGACCTTGGCTCCACTTTGTACACAGTCAGGCTTTTAGCCTTGCTTTTGAAAGTTCTAGTGGGACCTTTGATTGCAGTCATAGTGTGGTTTTTACCTCTGGTTATGTGCAAGGAAGTGTTTTCATTAGCCAGAAGTCACCAGTACAGAAGATGAAATCCTAGAAAGAAAGGTCAAGATATAGACAAAAGTTTTTCTATAAATAGCAAGAGATAACTTCAAGCTGCTGGTTTAACTTCTCTTGTCCTTTAAGACCCTGCCTGTACTGGATATATTAAAGCTTCTGAGACAATCTATTCGGGATCAACGTTCTGTCCTCACTATTCCTTGGATTGTGGAGTACCTTTCCCTTGTGGATCATATTGCTCCTTTCCTTGATTATTACAGGAAAGTGTTTGGTCTCTTGCTGCAGGTATACAGGTAAGAGCCTGGAAAAATATATCTGTAAAGAACTTTTCAATGAATGTTTGATATTTTTTTTTGTGGTGCAAATCATGCATACTTTTTATCTTACATAAAGCTGCAAAGAGAATACAGCCTAAACTTGGGGATTAATACTTGATTCAAATATGTGTTTTTTATTAAGTAAACAAAATCTTTAAATCCCACTTGATCACTCTACATCTGCAGCTGTGGTTGACCTTCAAGCTGCAGCTTGAATTTTGACCTTAAACCTACAAGGTTTCCAATGCCTAAATAATTTTCTACTTTCCTTTCCTATATACATGAGAAAAATTTGAAGCACATTCTAGAGAATGGCTTGTCTAGTGTAAACTTAAGACAGGATGTTATGCAGGTACATACAAAAAAGTAAAGCTTACTCTCAATCTTTAGGCAGACATACAAGGAATGTGTTCATGGTATATAGATAGTGTAATTGGTAAGGGAATGGTTTGGGAACGTTTTCCTTAATGAAAATTGAGCTGCTGAAAACTGACACGCTGTCTTGCTGCTTCTGCTGCATGGCAGGTTAATGGTCCTTTCTGAAGACAAGGAGATGAGTTTCCTGAACAAGCTGCTGATCCTTGCAGTTCTGGGTTGGCTTTTTCAGGTAGAGTCTCCTCTGTGCATGTAATTCTTCTCTGAAGAAAAAGCAGGGCACAGAACTCAATACAAAATAGTATTGAAATGAATTAAAATAATTCAATACAGTTGTTTGGTTTTTTATCTTGTTTTTTTACACTGGTGTGGGGTTTAAAGAATAACTGTATTTTAGTGGAGAATTAGTTTCCTTTAGTGGAATTGTGTGAAGCAACAATTTTTTTCCAATAGGAATTGTAATTGCATCTGAAGTACATTCTGTATTTACTAATCTGCAACCTTGCACGAAAATTGACAGCTGATTCCTGTTAGACCTGGAAGCTCTTGTTACAAAGATAGTGTGCTAGCTGTCAGCCTTGAATTGCTGAGGAATTTATTAGATAGAGGGATGGTGTATGATGAACTTTTAAAATTCTTTTGTGCCTCCAGTTGGAAGCAAGGTAATTACTTAGCAGGACCCTGTTGGAAATGTGGAAGATGCTGTATGGGGAGGATAAGAAAGGTGGCTTTTGTTACTGTGATTAAAATAAGTCTTTAATTTTATGGAAAGTTCTCAGGGCAAGAGGATCCTTAGTGCTAGGGATTATCTTTTGTGGGTGGCAGGGTGGTGAGATTTTACTGTCCTGTTTTCAGAAATGAGGGAAGTTACTGATTGCATTTATGGTTGCAGCTGCTGGGTTTTCTGTTTCAGGTTCCATCAGTCCCTGAAGAGTTGTTTTTTACTGCTGACGACAGGCAGGAGAGATTTGTGATGGATACTGTGACATCTGCTCAGGCTTTGGTGAGTTAGTGCAGCAGCATGTCTTCTGAATCAGTGAGGGAAGATGGACCTACCACTTCCTCAGGAGCTGTCAGATTTGATCAGGAACTTGGCTTCAGGGCCGCTGCACTGAGCATATGGAGGCCAATGGATGTGATGCCCACTTTGTCCAAAGGCCTCAGTTGCATCTGTGTTATGGGTTGTGAACTCTGTGTTGAAGCTCTGGGTTTTCTGTCAGGCAGGAGCCATCTCACCTGCTGCAATAATTTGCTGTTTTCCTGCAAGGTGAGCTGACAGAGCTGTAGCCCTTCCCAGAAATAAGCAAAAGTAATGGTGAACAGAAATAGAAAGATAGGACTGTAAGAGCAAGGTTGCTGTTTGTGAGATCACCTGTTTTCCAGTGTCATGATAAAGGGTGACTGAACTGAAAACGGTGTGAGCATGCAGGAAAGGAGGTGAGGGTGTGGCATGTGTGATGTTTCAGATGATTCCTAGACATGCAAGGGGATATATAGTATTCCATGGAAAAGTGGTATGGATGCTTGGATACATTTCCTTGGTGGATGGGATCTGAAATTCCTGTTCCTCCTCTGGCCCTGCATGTGCTGTGTTAATACTGAGGTGACATTCTCCATGGCATGGTGTTCCAGGGAGTCTGGATGAAGGCACTTGTGGAGGTGTAATGCATAGCAGATGTGCCTCGTTTATTTTCCTACATGGAAAGGTTTCTCCCTTATGAGTAGAAGCTGTGGCAACAATCCTGGTTCCCTTCTCAAAGGCAGCTTTCAACTGGGCTTTGACAGTGATCAGGGGCAAAGGCTGGACTACACTAATAAAATGAAGAGCAGCTCATTCTGTGTTACATGGACTGAACACTTGAGCTGCAAAGTTCATAATTTTACTGTGTATTTGGAACCCAGCTATTGTTTTCATGGAAAGGTAGCCCTGAAACCTGCCTGTGACTGCATGTATGGGATTTCTGACTTGAAGACTGTTTATTTTGTGCTGTGTCCTTTTAGCATTTCCTTCATTTTCTCACCAGGACTTTGTACCCTTGGTGGATCAGCAATTACTTTATACCTGCTGTCCCTATCTTGGCAAGTATTTTACTTATTTTTACTATATACATAAAATATATTGGTAGGTATTTACTTTTATTTATTCAGTTGTTTATATTTGTTGTTTGGTACTGTGAGTCCTTGGATCACCTTTCTTACTCCTCTTCACAACTTAAGGTCTCAGTTGTGTATGCAAGAACCTTGATAAGAAGCTGTATTGCAGAAGCTCCTGCAGCTGTGGATAGTATCTGGTGAAGCTGGGGGAGGGAGGTTACCTAGTCAGGATAGTTGATCCACAGAGCTTGAATCCAGAGGGACAGGGGAAGCCAGCCCTCACAAGCTGTAAGGAAGCATTTCAACAGCACAGCTTTTCTACCCTAGGTGTAGGAAGAGGTGTTTATGCTGCAAAGAGTGTCTTAATTCTTGAGCAGATTTCTGCTGCCAGGCAGAGGGGAAGAATCTTTTTGTGCCCTGGTGTTTTGTCAGGTTGTTTGAGATAGCTTTTCCATGGGATCTGTCTACCAGTTGTAAAATTCCTCTCTGTAGACTATTAAATAGAGTCCCAGATGGGGACATGTTGCTCTTCTTCTTGGGTCTTAGTAGGAAAACTGTATGTTAAACCTGTATCACAAAACTTCTAGGGGTGAATGGGTTGTCCAGCTTTTCCCCCAGGATTTGCTCCTGACTCTTGGAATTTTGTGTAACTGCTCCCTTTGTTGTCCTTGTAGAATTTACGGTTCTTGCTTGCCATGCTAAAAGGAATGCACAAAAATAACTGCTCCCTCCTCCTTCTGAACGAGTCCCATCTGCTAGAGGGCTTTTCAGAAGTTTCCTTTTTTCAGAGCCTTGCTGTGCCCTGCATGTGTGGGATGCCACCTCTGCTTCACTGAAGCTTCTGCTTCTGTAGAAGCTGAGAGAATCTGCTCTGGGAGCAGGACTGGAAAAGTGAAACTCTCGTTCTTGAGTTTTGATGTTAGTTTTTCTCCTTGCTTATGGAGTTGATGATTGCTTTTACATGTTTTCCTGTACAGGTGAACTGCGTAAACTACTTGCTTCTTTTGTGGCTGGTAGTGGAGGGAAAAATGGTGGTTTTATGAGGAAAATCACTCCCACAGCTGCAGAGTCCTTAGCACCCAAGGCTTCTGTCACACAGCGGAAACTGCAGGTAATGAAATTAGGGAGTCACAAGGGGGAAAGGGACAGGAGAAATTTGCTTGTGTGAGTGTAGGGTTATACAGTGATCTCTTAATGCCAGGGAAAGAATGGACCTAGACAGCAGGGGAACATTGTGTTTAACAGTCAGGTGTCTTTACTCCCTGTTTTTCTGTTACAGTCATGTGGCTGGGATATGGTGTCAGTGCTGAAATACAGATAGCCTCTGTAAACATTCTTGCAGCTGGAGCAACTAGTCTTATTTGTTTTCTTCTTCTTTAACATAGAACGCTGGTATGTTTCTCATGCTTTGTTTCAGTTAGATTGTAGCCATGCTTTCCACTGAAAGAAGGACATATGTAGGAGCTTACAGGATTACCAGCCTGTAAAAGGGCTTGTTCTTCCCAAAACAAGCCCTCTGTGGTGACTCACTACTAGTAGATACCGTCAGAACTCTCCCATTTCCCTTTACAGATCTTTTGTAGCTTCAGAAACCCTGGTAATAAACTTTAAGTGGTTAGAAGGGAATAAGGAGTAAAACTGGGATGATGAATGCTACAGTAGCAGAAGGTTCTAGTGGAGGCGAACTGTCTTGTTGTTGATCTCCAGCAGGTGGTTCTGTCCATCCCTGTGTTGGTGAGAAGAGGCTCTGGGTGGAGTGCTCTAATCAATTGTAGTGCTTTCTCTTGAACAGATGGATTTGGAGCAGGCCTTCTTCCACAACCAGCCTCCTTCCCTACGGAGAACAGTGGAATTTGTGGCAGAGAGGGTGGGATCCAACTGTGTTAAGCACATCAAGTAAGTGCTGGTCACCTGTTCTGTGACTTAATAAGTAACTTTACATTATAATTAGACAAAGAGTTGATCCTTTAAAGTTGTGTGTATGGGAGAAAGAAGCTTCCCTGGGGATGTGCTGTGTAGCAGAACACCAAGGCTGTGTAAGAACACAGGCTGTGTAGGACTGACCAGTAACAACTGCTGTTGTAGACAGGAATTTGTGAAGGAATGTAGAGAGGAGGGGGATACACCTGTGGGACATTTTGTATGTGAATGCAGTGCAGCATTGAGACTTTGTAGCCTGTTCAGAGCATTCTTGCTAATGATAGGAAAATCTCATATCAGAAATGACCTCTGGAGGTCACTTGATCCAAACTCCTGCTCAAAGCAGACCCAGCTTTCAAGTTAAGTCAGGTTTATTGGCACCTTTTCCAGTTGGAAAAGTTTCCATCTCTTAAGGATGAGGATTCAGCCACCTCTTTCTACCATGTTCCAATGCTTAATTTTCCCAGGCTTTGTGAAAAATGTTTCCTTATATCCTGTCAGAATATCTATCCATTGTTCCAGCTTGTGGATATTCCTGTCAATCTTTAGCAGTACTCTTCCTGGAAGTCTTGTTCTGCCTTCTTTGTAAATTTCCTTCTCCCTTCAGCTTTTTCTTGTCTCCAGGCTAGGAGACTCCCCCTTGTAGGTGTGTGCTCCAGCATCGCAGCTATTTCAATAATTTTTTTCTTTTCTCCTGCAGTTACTCAAATTGTCAATGGCTTTCTTGTCCTGAGATCCCAAAACTGGACACACTACTCCAGATGCAGCCTCAGAGTGATGAGGGAAGCAGTAACTTCCCTTGACTCGCTGGCTGCACTGTTGCTATTGTCAGCCCAGTATAAGGTTGGCTTTCTTTGGACACTCCTAACTCCCTTCCCTTGTTGTGGGACCCCCAGGTCCTTTCTGCAGAGCTGCTCTGTAGCCAGTAGACCCCAGCCTGTACAGGTGTGCAGTCAGCCCATTTCTTCCTCTTTTCACAGCCTTCCTGTGTGGCAGCCCTGCCCTCCAGCTCATGAGCTTGCTCAGTTTGCACTGTTCTGTTGTCCAGCTTGCTGAAGGCATTATTAGGTGTTATCAGCCCCTCAGAAATGGTGGTTGCAGTGGGCTGCTGCTGACATCTTTGAGCTTCTGAGCACTGTCAGTTGAGCGTACAAGGTATTGCTGCCAGAAAGGAGACCTGTAACCAAATAAGTTTTTAGTAAAACCTTGAATCTTAGTACTGTTTTGGTGTCTTCATTGCTGTTGTCTTCCATACACACAGAACAAGGAGATGATACAGATGTGATACAGCCTGATTAATTCATTTGTAGTAGAGTGACTTATTGCATTTGAGATGGGTATCCCCCTAAACTGGGGAGAAGAGCTGGGTACACTTAGTGTGCACTGTTTCTTGTATTGATTTCAATCTGCCTGATTGTTCTTTGTTTTGTTGCAGGGCAACACTGGTAGCAGAACTAGTTCAAAGGGCTGAAGCCATGTTGCAAGATAAAGTGAAGGAGGAGGATGTTAATCATGACAAACTGCTTGAAGAGGTGTGCACTCATCTGTATGAGGAAGGGGCCCAGGCGCTCATCAAAGGCAGAGAGTAAGGAGGAAAAGTTATTTAAATCTGTGCCTTCCTATCTCTTCTTACTGCAGAATCTGTAAGCCTAATTTAGTTTGGCCTGTCATGCTCAGGTTCTGGTAATTATAAACCATGCCCTCTACTCTTCTTATGGTGAATGCTGCTGTGCTCCAGCCAGCTAGTACTGCATTTGTAGGAAGGAATAAAGGTGATTTGTGTCCCTCTGCTCCAAATAGACATCCATTGCAGCTATTGTATTTCCCCTCTTTGGAAAATTGATATTGCAGCTTAGTTGCTTGTAATTACCCTTTCCTTGTCTGGTTCTTTTAATCTGATTTATTGCATTGCTACATAATAAACCTCTGAGTGTTGTCCAAGAATCTAGACTAATCCTGTGGCATACTTTCTTCCTTTTCTTGTAGATTTTGCAAAAAAAAAGGTCCTGAGGCAGTAAGGGTGTTGTTGCCAGAAGAGACATCTGCAGCAGTATGTATTTTCCCTAAAACTTATTAAAAGCCTCGACTTTAAGTCTGGATCATTACCATTTTTCCATTGCTGCTTCACTTATCCCTTAATAGCTCAGGTAAAGAAAATCTATTGATGCCCTCATGGGAGGACTGAGAGATAGCTAAGAAGAGTCACTCCTACTTCTATGCCTTGCATATTCTGGGTAAAGTGGTACTCCAGCTCATAGCTGACTAATGAGGCTAGAATGTTATAGAAATTGCATTTAACTTGCAGTCATAATGCATTTGTTTTAGCATCAACTTCCACAAGAGTTGATGAGGTTTTTGGAAAATCAAGATGGCCCAGTTGTATTGCTCAAACCAGCTGTTTCCATAGAGGTGGTGGTGTTCAGTTTAACTGTTGCATGCCAAAATTAAGCTTTTTCCTCTAGACTTCTTTTTGAATTTTCACTGACTGCAGTGCTGTGGCTGATAGTAAATCTCCTATCATTTGTTATCCTCCCTGTAAAGGTTTTAAGTAGTGCAGAAAACATTGCAGTGGAACTGGCTACTGAGAGAGCCTGTGGCTGGCTCTCTGCCAACATTGCAGGTGAGTCTTTTTACCTTGAACTGGAGCTTCTGACCTGTGAATTGTACTCTTTTTTCTGAGATCAAGAGACAGATAGTGTTATAAAGTACTTGGTCCTACTCATTTTTCTTTTAGTGGAAAGTATGTAGTTGCTCTGTTCCTCCTTGTTTAGGAAGAATAGAAATGATTTCTAGCTCTAAGAACCTTCTTTAGGGATCTTTTGGGCTTGGCCCATGGTAGTGATTTTTAGTTATGGAGTCTTGCAGGATGGTGAGAGTAAATGCTGTGGAAATGCTTCTGGAAATGTCATTTAGGCTGAAGTTGTCTTAGCACTTCCAGGGTATACAGACAACTGCTTTTCAAGCCATCTTATGGTTCACGTGTACAAAGTGCTTCTGAAATCTCCTGTAAAACAAACACTTCTTGGACTGGATGTGTTTTCTGCAGGCTGAAGGCAAATATAGTCCTTTTATTCTGTAATACTGCACTGGCAAATCTTCAGAGTCTCTGAAAACCCATTTTTTCAAGAGGTTGTGCCAAAAGCCTGGGGAGGAATGTCCAAGTACCATTTGCAGCCACAGAGTTTAGTGTTTTGGATGCTGATCAAAATGTATTTTGGTAGAAGACATATGGTTTTTATGGGCACAGTGGTTGAACTGGTATGATCACAGTGAATCAGCTTTCTACTTTGGCATTGCCTTCTGGCTTAGCTACTGTGTTTGTTAAACCCATGGAAATATTTTTATGGGAAGTGAGATGAGTTGCCAGTTGTACCTGGCAGTGATGGGAGGCTGCCTTCTACACCTGTGGGTCAGTACACCCTCCCCACGTTTGCCTCTGCACATTAAATGTAGTGGGAGGTCAGAGAGAGTGGGTTGAAAATGTAAACTGTCTTTTTTCCTTATTCGCTGTGGCCCTTGGAATGAGAGGCTAAGAGTGTTTGAAAATGATTCTCTGCTTCAGTGGAGACAGAAACTGAAGCAGACAGGATTTGTTCTCTGTTCTCTATAGCACTCATCAAAAGGGAAGTGAAGGCAACCTTCAACAGAATGCTGAAAGTCCCAGGATTTCCCTTGCCAGGTGAGGATGCTCTTGAGTTGAGAAGGGACTGTCCTCCAGGCTGCCAGCACTGTGCTCCATTTCCCTCCCAGATCATCAATGAGATTAAGGTACACAGTATTCACTTCCTGGCTTGCCTGTTTTTCACATTGGTGGTTTTGTGATTTGTTTTTATTGTTGTTTTGTGGGGTTTTGTTTGTTTGTTTGAGGTTTCTTTAAAGAATGTTCTGGTTCTGAGGAGGTGGCTGTGGGGAGTGCTTAGGAAGCACGATGAAAGGTTCTCAGGTTTTTTCCAACCCTTGCTTGCTGTGTCTGGATCAGAGTTCCCTGTTAGGAGTCCTGTCTCAAATACAGGATTTCTGGTAGCATGGTAGTGTGGCCTTTTTGATATGAGTAGAATGGAAACCAGTGTGGACCCCATGGTATTGTGTGTAATTTCACAATCATTTAACCTATGTACCCCATCAGGAAAAGAATTCTGAGTGCCTCACCTTTTACTGTTACGTATTCGGCCTATGTTTTTTGCAAGTGCTTCTGCTTGACAGACAAGTAATGCTGGTTATCACTGTCATTGCTTTCCCAGCAGTTGTGTGAAAATGAGTTCACATCCTTTAATGCTTTCTTGATTGTGCTAAAATAAAAAAAGGAGGGTAAGTTGTATGAGGAAACCTCTGGGTTGGCACTGAAGCTTCCCTGACAGTATAAGAGGGATCTGGATTTTCAGGGTAGCACTTCTATCCTGAACTGCTTGCTGTGCTGTGAAATTTATCTAGAGCTTTCAGTGCTTTCCTTCACTTTTAAGAAATATGAAGTTGTTGCCATCATTACATTTTACTTTGTAACATTAGTGAGAACTCTGCTAGAAATTGAGATCTTGGTAAGGTTGTGAAAAATCAGCTTTACTCTGTCTTATGAAATGTATAGGTACTGACTTAGGTTCTGGTTTTAATGAGGACCCAAGAGCTGTTTGTGAACTGCTCTGTCACGGGTCCAAGGATGTGTTTGTGGAAGTGCAGGATACTAATGTGTGTTACTGTTGTCTTCCTCATCAAGGATGTGCTCTGTGTTGCTGTGGGCCCACGGGAGGAGGGTGAAGTGGTTGACTACCTGTGGCTGGAGTGCTTGCTGGGAAGGTTGAGTCAGACACTTCGATGCAGAAAGGTAGAAGATGTAAAAAAGCAACATAAACTCCCTTTGAATCACTTTGGGCTGTCTTGATACCTGTAAACTTTTTAATTTGCCTTGCCTCACAGTTGAATTCAGTTGAGGAGTTTTTATTTGAGCTCAAATGTGGCAATGTTGCACTGCATTCTTTTATACTGTGTAGATCTGCTTGTTACTGCAGTTTGCCTTTGTGAATCCCCTTTTCATATATGACCTTTTTGTCTTTCAGTCTTTAGTGGTCTCCTCATTACAGCTCTGTGCTTCTTGATGTAAATTGCCTGCTCATCTTGGATATTTTTTATCCCTTGTGAAGCTCTGTTTTGTCCAATCTGCTGTAGGGGGAAAAAATAAAACTTTTTTTTGTATTTTCCAGTTCATATGTCCCACATCAGAACAGCAGCTGGCCAAGTGCACAGTTGAGTTGGCATCTTTGCTGGGTGAGTTATGATAAGCTATTTAAGACTGAAATCTGTTATTACAGTTCTCTTAGATCCTTGAGGTCAGAGATATAAGTGTCTAGAGCTCATGGATGTTTCATTCTCTTTGCTGTCACTGAGTCTGAAGATTTTTTTCTGTCAATTTGGGTGGTTGCTGTTATTCCCTGTTACATTCTGCAAAACAGAATTGTACAGTGAGTAACCATCCCTCTGATCTGTTTCACATCTGTTGTTTTTTATTTATTGACATCTTCAGTTAAATATGGGATATGTTTTCCAGTATTTCTGCCTCTGAAAAATTGTGGTTGAGTTTGGGCTTTTTTCCCTAAAAGTAAGGGCCTTTTCCATTACATTATGTTTTTGTGGCTCTTTAAGGGAAAGAGTGGACGTAAATTGTTTTCTGTGAACATTTCCAGTCTGTTTTTTTCTCTTGCTCTGATGTGTAGATACAGTTTTTCTCTGAGCAGGGGCTTCTGATCTCAGTGCAGCTGGGTTCTTCATTGGCAGCCTTCTAATTTTGTGTGCTTAGAACCAGCTTTAGAAGTTTTATACGTAATTTCCAGGAGGCAGTTCACATCTGAATATTGTGAAATTTTTTCTGGGGGCAGCAGTGTCAACCTGTCCTGTTCCATTAGGCTGTACCAAGGAAGAACTGGTATCTTCCTTCTGTTTATGTTCATCTGCAGTTAAGCACTGTTCAGTTTTACTTTCACTTGTGTGAAGTCATGTAACTCTGCCTATAGTTTAAACTATGGACAGCTGTTCACTCTGTCTATAGACTTCAGTGTTGAACTGTGCTACTCTTCTCTCCTTTGCAGTAACACCTAGGTTCTGTTTGACTAAATATTAGGCTGACTTTCAGGAGTTGGGGCTATTTTCCAACCAATTGGTCTTCTTTGCTGAGGAATAGAAATTTCCTCCTACGTCATACTGTCTGTATAGTTTCAAAGCTCATAATTTTGAAATATTGAGCTAATATTTCCAAACTCCAGTCCTCTTAGATTCACTAGTTTGTACTCCCTAAGTGTGATGCTGAACCAAGATGATGACTATAAAAGGAAATAATGCAGCTATAGGCATTCAGTTTTCTCAGTTTTCCTCCTCCTGTTAGTTTCAGATCGTGTTCCTCTGAGTCTTGGGATCAAATCCCCAGAGAAGAGCCCTGAGAGGCTGCGTGTAAAGAACAATCCCACCTACAGCCTCCTAAAGCTGCTGTTCTCCATCTGGAAGGAGGACTTTGGGACATCTGTGCCTGTGCAGCTGATCTTCAGCAAGAAGAACATGGGTTATCTTGCAGAAGCCAAGCAGCGAGAGGTAAAGCTCATTCTGATGTGGGAGCAGGCTGGCACTCGTGTAGGAGCTCTGCCAGCCCGCAGTGCTCACTGGTGGCTCGTGTGACTGAGGCCAGCGGGTTTGGTCACTGCTGGCTGGCCTTGTTTCTGCAGGGCAGTGAAGGAGAGGGACATGCACAGCTTGTCAGGCGTTGGTACCTGCCTGGGGGGCTCTCAGGAAGGCACAGTTTTGGTTTGGAACCAATGGCAAAATGACCCATTTGAGCAAGGGCTGGACACGTGACTGTCATCAGTAGCATTCTTGTGCCTTTTATCAGCTTGTATTTCTGCATGCCTGTTGGTGTTACAAGCACCCCAACAAAAGCTGAAAATCACCCTATTTATTGCAGGCTAAACCCAGCTTATTTCAGGAATCAAATAATTTTTCACGCTGTTCTTGATCAGGCAGGAATTAAATTCTTGGTATATTTATAAACTGAGAATTTATAATACCATATACATACTTTATGGTAGAAGATAATGTATGAACTAAAGGAATTGTGCTCACTCATTTTGGACATTGCTCTTGTCCTCGTTGTCACACACAGATAGATAACATGCTTGCTTCTTTTTTCATGTTCTGATCCAAAAAGAAAAGCATGAATTATATATGGATAAAGAAACAAGCACACAATCAATTTTTTTGAGTTGTTATTATTTTCTTCTCTTGTGCAGTGGGATTTATTCCTTCTCCTGCTTCATGGTCTTATAGAACATGAACTAATGAAAGCTAGTGAAATCGAGAGTTGCCTGCATATCCTTGAAGAGCTCCCTTGGCCCTCAGTAAGTAATTAGATATGCATGAACAATAAGTGAAATAAAAAGTAAAGCTATGTAAACAGGAAATCCTTGTGTTTTAATTTAATATAGATAAGGCCCATAACCTTCCCATCTGTTGTTCCTGCTTGATGCAAAGGAAGGACTGGTTTCCAACAAGCTTGTTTCTGCTGCTGGTGTTTGGCTGAAAGCTGTACTTGTGTGAATCCAACATTGCCTATGCAGTGGAAACATTTCCCAGAAAACTGTAAACCACTTTGGAGACCAGCTGGCTCAGTTACCAGTTTTCAGTTCTAGCCTGAGTGTGCTTGCTGCCTTCCAGCTGAGAATGATGTGTTGGGAAGCATCTTAACTGACCAGTCTTGCACTTCAATCCCTGTGCCTCCTACCACCAGAGTGTGAGAGCATTCAGAATGTTCTAGAGAGGGGTCTCACTATTCTGGCCACAATCAAAATGTAGGAATCTACTCAAATACCTTGCTAAAAATGGAGAGTATTCCAAGGCTGGTGAGCACTTGCATGTTGGAGTTGTTTAAACCATTTAAATTATGGCAGCAATCTTGTCTGAGAAGGGTGTGGGGATCAGAGGGGAGACTGAGCATGTCTGCAGGCATTCATCATTGCAATCAATTTTGTAGTTCCTCTAGGTTTTTGCACTGGAAAACCATCAACATGTTTAACCTTGTAAAGTTCTTTATGGAAAAATTAAGTCAGCCTCTTTTGTTTCTATTACTAAGGGTTCTCTGGTTTGTGTCTGTTACAGGATTTCATAAAAGACCTGAAAAGGCTGTCCCGAGTATTTGTATCAGAACAGCAGATTGAGGAGCCCAGAACTAACCCCTGTGAGCTGACCAGACAATCTCTAGCTACTGTGACCACACAAAGTTAGCAGAGGTGGATTCTGTGGACAAAAATTACTAATGAAGATGCAAGTGGAATTTTCAGTGTTTCTGAAAGGATTGGGAGCTCTTTGCTGGGAGCACACTGAAGCTAAGAGGTCACTGTGCAAAACCTGCACTGGGCTTTCTGTCACGGACATTTTGCCGTGGTGACTCTGCTGAAGGATTTACATCAGCAAATGTATCTCCAAGATAAAAGTCTCTAAAGCACCTTGATTGTATCTCAGAGCAGCTGTTGTTTGGACTCAGAGACACTTTTTGTATTTGTGCAGCAACAGGCTGTGACCAAACCCAGGAATCAACTCAAGTTACTGTGAGTGATCAGAGATTGTTTCTTGGTGGCTGTCTCTTAACTCAGTGTGACTTCTCATGTTGTTTAACAAATCCTCTACAGTCAGGGGAGGGAAGAGGTGAGCCTACACGACACAGAGATGTGCCTATATTTATTTTTCATTGTAAGCTCAGTGTTGAAGGTTTGATTTTAATTTTTTAAGACTGATTTTAAAAGTTAAACCATATTAAATAAATCCACTAGACCATTGATGGCATTATTGCTAAAGGATGCTTAAGTGTTTTTCCATCTCTTGTTGGAAACAGAATTTGCAATTCCCAGGGTTTTTCATAGAAATAAGGAATAAAATATCTGTTTATATTTTTTACTGAAGACAGTATTTTTAAGACACTTTTATAGTTGTGAACATAAATGTCATCTGGCTGCTATTCACTGTTTTTTAAATAATTTTTCTTGCCTTGAGTTTGGGTTTTATCAGTCAGGAAGTGCTGCAGCAAGAGAACAACAGCCTGGAAGAGCAGACAAAGTAGTGAAGAAGCACTGGAGAGTGGGTTTTGAAAGGGGCCCATTTCTTGGAGGACAGTGGGCATTTTCTGCCCTTACAGACAGATGGTCACAGCAAGAGTGTGACCTCCTGTTTACTCCCTTCTTTCCAAGTATGTCCTTGAGCTGAGGATCAGGGACTGCTGATGAGTAGCAGAATATGTTTAGGTGTTCATCAGCTATCTCATGGGATTCCCTCTCTCTGCCCCAAAGCAGTGAGGACATTATTTCCTTTTGTCTAGCAGTGTCCTATTTCTGTAGGTTTTTCCAGAAAGCAAGTTCTGTGTTATTTAAGAACAGCCTCTGGACAAGGTGAAGCCCAGGGCTGTTTAGCTTGCTAATTAACTAGCCTCTTCCCTGTACAAGGTGAGAAAAGGTAACATCTTGGAGCTAGTGATTCAAGCAAAACTACAGACAGAACTCATTAGGTAGAACTGTGGCTTCTGTTAAAATATGTGATACAGAAAGAGAAATCATAGAGGTGCATTGGTGTCTGAACTATATTGTAATTTTTCTTGTCTTGTTAACTAAGCACTGTATTGAAAGACTTGGCAGGTTCCACCTGCATTCCTCTTTTTAGGGGCTTTCTGATGTGAATGAAAGTCCCCAAAAGTAGGCGTGCTGCAATACAAATACAAAAGGAACAATTCAATACAAATTGAAGAGCAAGTACACCATATCATGCCATACCTGCTCCCTGAGGCTGAGTATTATGTGATGTTTTGCTGCAGATCTCATTTGAAGTTGTTGTCATAATAAACGTTATTAAATGTCTTGTCTTGTGTTCAAGGTGTCAGTAGAGAACCTCATGGTATCAGGCTGAAGAACAAAACAGGTACCTTGGCACAAAGGGTAGGGCAGACAAAGGGCAGCACAGATCTCCTGTCTGGCCTGTCAAGCTTCTGCTGAAATAGAAATCTACTTGGTTATGTAAGGGAGGGCAGGGTGCTGAAAGGGGAAGAAGCTGGAATCCATAAGAGATAAAAAAGGTGCTCCTGGTTCTGGCATGGATTTATTTGGGTGTTGTAAAACTGTTTGCATAGCTATCATGGCCACAGCCATTTTCATGAGATCAGCATACTGGAATTGTCCTTCTCTAATACAACATATTCGGAAGTTTTTATTTAAAAGGTGCCCAAGCCTCAGGAGCGCTTTCCAGCAGCCTGAGAACACAGTTGTGCCCTAAGGGACTGGAGACACTTCTGCAGTGGGAGCCAGCAGGTAAGAAACACCCCTGTTTCTGTGTTCTCATGACTTAATGCAGTGACGCTGGTTCTTGGGCATCCCACAGCCCCAGGCAGTTTGCTCTGTGGAACCAGACACCCCACTGTGTATCCAAGGCTCAGGGGCAGTTGTGGACCCCTGGCCGTGGGACCACACGACCCTGCAGCCCCCTGGGCTGGTGGCTTTCTCTCAGCACCAGGCCCTCTGGCATTGTCCCTCTGTCCTGGGCACTGCTGCTGGTGCCAGAGGTGCTGCAGGCAGGAGAGCAGGAGCTCTCTGAAAGCCAGCTCTGAGGGTGTGGCCTTTCCTCTGCAGGTCTTTCCTATTGTAAACTCACAGGTCTCAAAAGAGAATTAGGAAAAATGGTGTTATATTAGCTCCCTTCTGAATGTACTGGTCTGGGGAGTTGTGTAACAGGACTTGGGAAGAAGCTTCACCCAACTTTTTTTTTTTTTTTTAAAAACCAAAAAAAACCCACTTTGTTAGAAGAAGCTTCACCCAACTTTGTTTTTTTTTTTTTTTTTAATAACCAAACAAAACCCACTTTGCTTGCAGAAAGCACTGTCACAGAACCCCAATTTAAGCAGTGACTGGCTTCTTGATTCTTGTGCCAAAAGTTCATATCCCATGCTCGTTCCTCAGCAGGTAAGTAGGAGGCCTACATCTGATATCACAAACTTGCCTTTGTGTTGGTTTTTTATCCAGCGTAGTTCCATAGAAGGGTATCTTAGCTGGAGCAAAATAAGGTGGGGCACATTTTCTTGTGTAGAAAATACCATTTATTGTGGATATGAAAATAGCAACCTTGATTTAGGAGCAGAGATGCAACCCTGGGTGGTACAATATAATTCGTTTGATCATCTGCTGCTCAGCAGTAACTTACAGGAAGTTGCTTTTTCCTGTTGTAGAGAAACAAATTTGATATCTGCTGGGCCTTTGTTTCTTCCTTCCAAACAAACCAATGCCATTCATTAGCAAGTACCAAAAAATGTTGTATTTGCAAAAGAAAACATTCATATAAATAGGCTTTTTAGTATCAATTGAAGACTGTATTAAAAAAAAGTTACATTAATTCAATACTGATAAAAATAAAACTTAGCTTTGATAGCATATAAAAACGCTTCAAACCAAGCATATATAAATAACTTAATTTGTAAACGTAGAAAAAAAATTTAAGTATATATAAAAATAAACATCTGATGCACTGTACAATAAGACACTATCCTTCATAGGCACTGGCATCATTGATCAAGAGGAGGCCCCCGAGATGTTTTTCCTACAAAACCTGCTTTACCACTAGTGCCATGTCCAAAATAAAAGGGAAAAAAAGCAAAGCACTGAGCAAATCTGTAGTGGGTTGTATGAAGGCCTCCCGTATCTCCTCTGGAAAGCAACAGAAGCAGCACTAGGGACAGAGCCAATATCCCATGCTGCTGGTTCTGCTCATTTTTCCTGGGGCTTTACTGTACAGCCTTGTCTGCTCTTCCTTTTGGGTTTCCACTGAAGGGAGGATGTTGTCACATTACAAATCTGGAAATCTGTCATTTTTCTCAGCTGCAGAAAACTGTGACAGGTTACCCATTCTTCCTTGAGGGGCTGTGTAGGATGTGTGATGCTCAAAGTGAACCATGCTGTAACTCAGGCTTTTAGCAAAAGCCTGGACCTCACCAAAAAAAGGAACACTAATGTATGGGTGTTAAGATTGTAGACATGACTATCCAAAGATCAAACAAAGCAAATTTGTAAGTGAAAGGTTTTGTTACCCTCCCTGAGCTAGTTAGAGGAGGAAGCCTTGGGTGGGTATGTATCAAAACTGCTATATTCTTAAGTGTCAATTTAAAATAGCTATTGTCTTTGCATTCAAAACTCACTATATTAGTAACAGGAAGTAACACAGAAGCTGAGAGCCAAAATTACAGCTGTGCAAAGACAGAGTAAAAATAGATCTTGGCTCTTGAACTCAAAGGTGGGAAGTGCAGCTACCTTCACCGTGTGCTGGGAAACCACACCTTGTATTGAAAGTAACTGTGTTAAAGTAGCAGTACGGTGGATGCTTGAATACATTTCTCACTTGACAAATTCAAATTGCAAGAGCTTCTTGAACAATGTGGACTTTTTTGAGCTAATGAAAGCATAACATAGCAGCTTTTATTGCTTAGATGTATCTAAAGTGATTCTGTACTGTTGTGCTGAAGAATGAAATTAAGTTATTTGGATATTTGAGGTGGTTGTGGTTCTGCTTAAATTTAGGAACATGTGAACCAGCCTAGGGATTGTGTTGAACAAACATGTAAAGCCTGACAGGAGCACTGTTGGACTAAGTGCCACAGAAGTCCCATGAGGTAATTGAATGGGAAGAGTCTGTATTTGCTGCAGTGGGACAGGTGGCCACATTATGAACAAAGAAATGTGGTAAGACTATGGCCAGGCTATATTTTCAGCTCCTAATGCATTTGGGTGCAATTGTAGAAGGGCTGATGGGAAAAGCCATTATGGAAAAATGTTGGAGCTACTCTTACTTGCAGGACTTAAATTCTAGGAACAAGCTGATTACTAACCTATCCATGACAGTGTCACTGTGTAGAACAGTTTGGTTTCTTTATTTCAAAGCACCTGATTCTGCAGTACAGTAAAACTGTGTCCTGAGGTATGGTGGTGTCCACTGCTGCTGCCTAGTGTAAATCTGAAACACCTTACACTGGCTGCAGGCAGTCAGCAAATACATGAAAAATTCTATCCAGGGTGTAGGATGACTAGTGAATATTGTGCTGCTTTGACTTCCCTCTTCAAGGGGAAGGGAACCAGCAGCCAGCTAAGATAAATGATTTATCTACACAGTCAGGAATTCTGCATTTGGTACTTATCTCATCATTAGAAAGTGGCTTTGCAGCTCTGCTCAAGAGCTTGTGAAAGGTCTCAAGCCATACAGAGACTGCTTCCAGCCTAAACTTACTTAAAGAAAGAAGTTGATCTCTGAAGTTGCTTGGAAACAGGAGTTAAGTAATATCTTCTATGATTCTGGCTCTTGTAAAGCAAGGTCTCTTCCTCTGCTCTTTATAGGGCAGTACACCTTTCTTCTCTTCCATGGAGCTTTTCCACTGCTATTTCCAGGAGAGGTTCCCTGCTAAACGTGCTGCATTTCTTATAAGTGGTGCTGGCCAGAGCAAATGATCCTGTTCTCTAACTGCACTTCCACATAGTCCAGCAGCAGCAGCCAGGCTCCTGAAGTGAGGCTTGGTGGTGGCTGCCTCAGGAGGCAGCATTTTCCATGACACTTCCTGACACCTGTGTGTCCCTGTGGGCTGTCAGGGGCTCTTCAGTGTCCGCCGGAGCTGCAGCACTAAGCAGTGAGCAGGTGAGCCAGCTGAGCAATCACCAGGGGCTGCTGCTTCGCCATGGAGCTCAGGAGCCTGGCAGGGATGGCCGGGGCTCCAAGGTCCACCTGCAGGGATTACAGAGGAAAGGCTGCAGGCTGGAGTCTGTACCTGCTTTAAACAGAACCCTTCTCCAGTCTGGAACAGCTCTGATGTAACAAGTATGTGTTGGGCACAAAAGTAGTTAACAGCCAAATGCCATCATTACTGTGTGGTTTGTATCTTTTTCTTCCCAATGCTCCACAGACTTTCAAAACTTTGCTATTTGATGTTGCTTCTAGCAGGTATGACCCACATGGCTTTTGAGTTTGAGCTTGGATTAAAGTTTACTAGTTTGAGACACACAGTGTTACTGAAAATGTATATGCATAAAGGCAATGTAACACGCATATTAAATTTTAAAATGCATATATACATTTCACCTATGCATTGTAAAATGCATGTGATAATTAATGATATTTTAAAAAATGTATCTTTAAGCTTTAAATAAATGAGTTTAAAGGACTAATGGCATTTATCACTACATAAGCATTTAAATGAATATTACACATTAAAACGTGCTCTTCTGGACATTTTAAAATACTTCATACCCCTGTCTCAAAGTGAACCTACTTGTCAAATGAGTCTAAAAAGTGAATTATAAAATTAACATTTTCTTATTCTTAACTTGAATCCTAATCTTGACTTCTCTTTTGTATCTATTAAGTGTGAAGAATTAATGACTTTGGTAAGAAAAATGCACCAAGTATTTTCAGGGATCTTGAAAATCGTATAACCCCAGGTGGACTTCCTGTGTCCACAGCTATGTGAAAATGCAAACAAGACTCCCCATATTGGCTCTCCACATGAGCACAACGTATACTAAAATTGCTGATAAACCTGTACAGAAGAACCCAATATCCAAGGAAGCAGCCTTGAACGCTGTAAAAGCTTGGGAATATGTTCTTGAACACAATCCTAGTAAGAGTCTCTGCATTGAGAAGTGTGAAAGAGGTGACTTTGTGGTCACTTTGTAAGGTTCATGGAGTATAGTGTAAGGATTGTGGTTTTTGTTGCTTACCAGCTCGTAAGTGTTCTGCTGTGTAAGAGCTTTTTGCATTCACAATTGGACATACAGAAAAATCCTTACCTGTGCCATGTAAATAACTCTGGTGATCTCTCTTCCATTCACTATGTCAGGTTCCAGTATCCAAGCACTTGGCAAAATCTCCCCTCTCACTGCTTCTTTACAAGGCTGAGGCATGGATGCATCATAGACAGACTGAATAGCCAGGACAGACAAGTTCTCCTGCACATGACAAAGTGTAAAGATGACAATTTGAAAAATTTTATGCATATAGCAATGTTTTCATTGTTTACCATGAGGAATATTTCTCACATTGCTTACTTTACATGAAAAATTACTACTCTCATATCTATTAAATGTGTTTTTGTCAAAATCGTGTGTGTTTGCAACTAGAATATACTGTGTGACACTTGTGTTAGTGTCTGATGAGCCTTGGTAAACAATTGTCATTCACAAGAGGGTTTTACACATAATTCACTTGTTTCACTTGTGTGACACTGGCATGACTTTCCTTTCTGCTACACTGACACTTCTGCAGATAAGAAGATTGAACTTCTTTCTCTCCTTTGTCCTTGAACCAGGATATCAGAACAACTCCTCTGTGCTGCAGACAGAATGCTCACTTTACCTCTTTGGCTTCTGCAGTAATGCAGCAGAAATCCCGGGGCTGCTTTAGGTAACATAGGGAGGTATCAGTCACTAAATATACTGGGGAAAAAAAAATAAGGAAGGGGAATTAGACTTTGACAACTTCAACTTGTCACAATTTTCCCCAACCATTACATGGAGATACATATTTTATTTTGACTTACTGCCTGGGAGTAGAGCTCTAGTTCATATGCTATAATACATATTTAAAACGCTTTTTCAAGCCACTTCAGGTTTGTCTTTACTTTCAAACCACTGTCTCTAGCTGCACTTCACAGCAAGATGTGTTTAATATCAGCCTTGGAAAAAGCCCTGTAAAGCTGAAGCTCCCATATTAAATGATGAAATTGTTTCTTTACGCCTGAAGAAATGGAACAAGATGCCTTTAACTTTCTTCCTCTCTGCTTACATCCAGATGGTGCTTGTCATCTGCTAGGTGTGAGGATACTCACCCAGGTGAATGTGGCTGGTTACCTTCTTGTGTATTCGAGCTGTATTGATGGCGCTGTCGTAGAGATGCCTCTTGCCAGGATCTCTCACCACTCCCCACACATAGGGAAGAGGCCTTTCTATCACTCCTGCTCCCAGAAATCCGTGCCTTGTTGCTGAAGGGAAGACTTTGTAGTACACCTGCACCTCTTTTTCTGTACACTGATATCTGTCAAAGGCAAACAAAAGGTATTTGCCCACCAGAAGGCCAGGTACAGAGAAAGGCCTCCCCTTACACAGACCTGCCATAAACTTACTTCCACCCAGCTGCTGCTTGGCACATGTAGAGGTTCCTCAGGTTGTGAGAGCATGCTGCCATTACCTTAGAAAACAATGACAAATGACACCAGCTTCACTCAAACGTTCCAGCTAGCACCCCACACTCTCTTCTGCACCCCATGGCTGCAGCCTGGATCACTTTTACCCATCCTTCACAACTGTTCAGTGGTCGTGTCTGTACCTCACAAATAGGTAACTGTTTCTGATGTAGAACAAGACTTGTCCCACCCATTTTTGCTACAACTTCCAGAAGGAATAAGTAAAAACTCTGTTTTTACTTACCTCAGTGGTAGCATTAGCCAGGATATGTTTGGATAAATCTTGGTATCCTTTTGTTGAAGAGGAGTTGACAGAAATAGTTAAACCATGGGTGAACCTACAGCTGGTGCCACTTGAAGGAAAAGGTGGCTGAATTCTGCTGGCTTCTGCAGGAAATAAGCCAGAGAGGGAATAAAAAAAAATTAAAATGTAACCCTACCACTATTCTTAAATTGTAGGGACTTAAACTCTCCACTGGAGCCCCCAGTCCATCTGATCCTAATGAAGGAGTGATAACATCCCTTGCCTGGACATTGTGTGTGTGTTGGTAATTACACTGCAGTTATATTTTGCAGTACTGGAGTTTTAACAGCTATTGCCACATGTAGGAAAATAAAATAAGGAAAAATTGATAGCTTAACTCTTGAGGCTAAAAATTAGAATTTGCTTTTACAATTCTATACTCATTGCAGATTTGGGCCACACACTCCTTGCTTCCTTACTTCATTCAAAATATTATCCTCATATTATCTCAAAAAGCTGTACTTTGATGTTTCCACATCAAAAGATCAACTTCAGAGGAAGCAAATCACCATTTAATATTTAAAGAAATTCTAAGCAAGCACTGGCTACTGGTTGATGGTATTTTTCTGAAGTCATGTAAAGGTAGGGACATCCTTGCAATATCCAGATTCAAAGTAGATTTTGATTTGCATAAATGACAAATCGCTTTGGGATACAGCTCAAAAAAAGAAAATGTGTGTTTTACTTACCAAATGCTGAATCCTTATGCAGTTGCTCTAATGTGTAAAGCTGACTATTTCTAACAGCTGAGCGACCTCGTGTATCACTTGTAACCAAATTATTTCCAGAAGAAACCTGATTTAAGAAAGTGCAGAAGTGGGAGCATTCATTTGAAGTGGGAAAAATAATTTGTGTTAAATAGGCAGTGGAATATTAGTAGCAAATCTGCCTTACAAGGCTGGAAGCATCTCTTTATCATGAGGTAACCCCTTTGCCTTTCCCCTAGTTATGAAATGATACTTCGGAAATTTAGCAAAGTAAGTGTGAGGAACTAGCATGGGTGCATACTGCAAAAGTGACTTCAGGAAAGTACATTTTCACACATGGAAACTCAAGTCAATGTAGGTATTATTAGGAGGAGTCACTCAGAATATCAGATGCTATCAGATTTATCACAAGAAAAGGCCTGCTGTTTCTAAAACATTTGACAGATCTCTGATAGTTACATAGGCAGTAGTAACTATCTGATTTTTTTATCTATGACTTACAAAAAAAAAAACAAACCAAAAAGCAAACAACAAAAAAAAAAACCACCACCAAAAAAACACCCAAAACTTGCAAAATAAATGTCACTGTCCTTTGCAATTACATTACAAAAGGCTCCTTCACCCCATGTCACCCATCTATGTACTGGTAATGCAAACTTGTCCTGCCTCATAGCTGTGACAGAATTCAAATCATCTCAAAAACCATCTCTGTGCCTACACTATGCCTCTGTGCTTGAAGCACCAGGGGACATCAGTCTCACACAGCAGTGGTTTCTCACCTGCCCTTCCTGGCTGCTGAGGTTACTTGCTGTGTATGTGGCAGTATTACTGCTGTTGTAACCAGATGTTGGGCCAGAGGAGAGGCTGAGGCTGGAGTCTGTACATAAAGTGCTCGTACTTGCAAGAGTCTTCAGTCTTGCTTCTTCCTGTAATACAAATCACAGTATTTTGCAAACAAACAAACAAACAAACCCCAAAAAACAACAACCAAAAAAAAAACAACAAAAAAAACCCCAACCCACACACAAAAAACCCCACAAAAAAACCAAAAAACCCCCCAAAAAAACCCCAGCACTGAAAGTTGAAAAATGAATCTAAATAAATCCAATTTCTTCCAAGAAGTGTTGACACAAACTTGCCATACAGAAAGCATTAAATAAGCAAGTTTGTTTGAATGCCTAGGATCATATAAACCATAGAGTGAATGACCCTGTAAAATTTGACACTCTGTGGAAATGCAGGTTTTGCTGTTATCTTCACTTATAAGAGTTCAAACTAT